AAAAATACTCAAATCCTAAATGCTTCTAAGGTGTCAATGGAAACTCATCAGTGCCAGAGAACCCTGCACAGGGCATTTAATTGGAAAACAGGTTTTTTTCTTCCATTCTTAGTTTTCTCTATTTTGAGGATGAGGCGTGGTTATAGTGGAGAATGTGGGGTAGTGAATAAATAAATAAGGACACTTTCTCAGGCTACCTGATATTTTTAAATTAAATAAGCACAAACTATGAATGGCTGAAAGGAAAAACGTTTGTTAAAATGAATGAAAACTTATGGAGTACTTACTCCATTAGTACAGTGGCAGACAGAGTTTTAAGTGGCTTGCACAATTAATTAATTAATTACACTTTATTTTTGCATAGGAAAACTGATGTGTGGGAGTGAGAGGATGAGAGGATTCACCAGAGATAGAGTGAGGAGCAGAACAGGCAGATCTACTGAAATCCACTGCAGCAGGTAAGACAGGAGAGCTGCTGCTCCATGAAGGTGAGTTTCTTGGCTGGGGATGATAGTGCTCAGCCTGAACCCCTAGGCTACCAGGAAGGCACCTGGCACAATTTTTTAAAAAGGATTTATTTATTGATGCATACAGTACTAGGGTATAGGCCAAAGGTGCAGGGGCGGTGAGAGAGAGCGAGAGAGAGCAGGGAGCAGAACAGGCAGATTGATGATGTACACTGCTGAGGGGAGCAGCAGGTGGTCAGGAGAGGTCTGCCACGCCATGTGTCACCTCCGGGGTGGGGATGGAACTTGCATAGAAGCAGCTGTGGCCAGCTTTTCAGTGCTGCGCTTTAACTGGCTGCGCCACCAGGGAGGCCCCCAGACACAATTTCTTTCTCAGTTACCTTATAGGGTAAGTACCACCACTGTCCTCATTTAACAGGTAAGAAAACAGTCTAAAATGTCTCTGGTGTATAGTTGTTCATTATTATTATTATTTTCTCGCCTGTTCCTTCATACTCCTGCTATGAGTGAAACCATCTGGTATTTTTCCTTTTCTTTTTGGCTTATTTCACTAAGCATGACCTTTTCCAGCTCCATCCATGTTGCTGCAAAAGGCAGGTGTTTATTTATTTATTTTTATTTTTGGTTGCTGAGTAATAATCCATTGTGTATATGTACTACATTTTTTAAATCCAGTCATCTACTTTTGGGCATTGGGGCTGTTTCCATGTCTTTTCAGTTGTAAATAAAGCAGCAATAAACATGGGGGTACAGAGGTGTCTTTTTGAATCAGTGTTTTAGTGCCTATTCGGTAGATACCTAGGAGTGGGATTGCTAGGTCATATGGAAGCTCCATTTTTAGCAGTTTGAGAAACCTCCAAAACAGTTTTCCATAGTGGTTGTACTAGTTTGCATTTCCACCAGCAGTTAAGTGCTAACTTTTTATATCCCATTGCCTCAGTATTCACTGAATGTATCTGGATACACCAAATGTATCCAGATCACAGAGAAATGGTAGCTGAGCCAGGGTGGAGCTGGCCTTGACCCTGGGAGACACCATCATCCTTTCCAGTTTTTACATCAGTTTGCAGTCATTCCTATTACACTTTTGAGCAGGGCAATTTCTAGCCTCCTTTTCATGCCAGGGATCCGACTCTGCATGCACTGCCAACAGATCTCTTGAACAAGCGCTCCAGATGGTGCTGGCCTGCACTGAGGTTTGAGAACCATTGATGGACATGGAGAATTTCATGCTTTATAACCCCAGCGGTGATGCTATATTTGTTTATCAAGGAACACACTGAAGCTTCCCAGGAAAAAGGAGCAGAACAGTACAACATACAGCACCTTCTTTTGAAAGCTTTATCTAGGTTTTCCCAGAATGAGTTACGGCAGAAAGTCAGATCAAAGGACCTTTTACAAAATGCTGCTCCACAGTAGATTCAGAAAAGTCTTAGCCAATTAACAAAACAAAGTGAGTAAAGAACAAAAACAGGGGAGGCAAAAGTTCTGACTTACTTCAGCGTCCAAACCTGTTGCCCTTTTTCTAGAAATTTTTAGCATGAGCTGAAGAGACAAAGAACATCTTGCCTTAAATTAGATTGGAATTTTGAGGATTGTATCCTCAAACCCACATGCAGTCTATTTTTCTGTATGTGTGTAGCAGAACTGGGGTGCAGGCCAGAGGTGTGGGCATGAGAGAATTCCCCACAGAGTGGGGAGTAGAATGGGTTGATCTACTGAAATCACTGCTGAGGGGAGGAGCGGATAAGATAGGAAAGGTCTGCTGCGCCATGTGGGTCAGCTCCCTGGCTGGGGATCAAACTCAGGACATCATGGTGATAGCCTGAGATTGAACTCCTCTACCACCAGGGAGGCCCCACCCTATTTATTTTGAATCCAAACTGTCCAATCTTCAAAAGCCTACAGGTGGCTGGCCTAAGCTCCCAATCAATGCCTGTCTCAAAAGACCCATCCCTGGCCTTTGCTCAGACCTACTGGGTGGGCGCCATCCGGAATGGAGCCAGCAGTCTGCAAGCCTGTAAAGTTCTCTGAATGATATTGTAACCAGCATCCTTTGGGAACACAGTCTCAATCACATTATATGTCTACTTTCTGGCAAACTCTATTAATAGGCAACATCTATTAGAAAGTCTAGCTAGTCTTCCTGCAGCAAAAGCTTTAGAAAATAATAAGGCTTGTTGGTGGAACAAGCATTTTTGGGTAAGCCTGGAAGATTCACCTCAAAATTAGGACAACAAAGGCTAAGTGTCTCCTGCATATACAGACTCCTTCCAAGGCACTGAACATATATACATAGATAAAATAACCTTGTGCTGATATTTTTAAATAGGCATTCTTCAAACTGTGGAAGCTTTGGTCATCACAAAATCTGAGCCAGCCTGTCTGGAAATGGCAACCTATATGGCAACATGAAAAATAGACCCAAATTAGATATTTTAATAGGTTGATTTTTTTTAAACATTGAGTTCTCCAAATCGTTTATTTTTTTTAACGTTTATTTATTTTTTAAGTAGATGTTTTACACTCAAGCAATCTATTTTTGACAGGGATTCTGATAGTTAGTTTGAGACAGTATCACTGCTGTGATGGCCTGGGCCAAGAGCTGATAGAAAGAACAGATGGTCCAGGCAAAAGCCCACCCTGTGGGATCTGCTGACGCTGTATGTGTGTGTGATCACTGTTTTAGAAGTCCAGGAGGGTAGTGCGATGCAGATTAAGTGGGGACTCAGAAACCACACTATGTGACCTGAACTCAAATTGATTGATTTACCCTGTGAATTTAATAGATGGGCCTCATTCATTTTGAATAGGAAAGAAATTTGCTGCATCTTCCCTATTCATGAGCTCATTCTCCAATTTAGGAAGGTCGCCTCATGCTCACAGCAGAAAACAGCCGGCGAGTTGGGAAGCAAAGGGTTTTACAGGACTCAGATGTTCACGTTTTCTGTGTTCAAGCTATTTTTATTCCCACAGCACAGACGGTAGTGTAAGCGTGGATTTCTTCAGTATTTTTATTATAGCAGGTGTGGGCTCCTCGACCATTGTCCTTAAAACACACATTGCTGCCGGCATTTGAACAGCTTGGGTACTAATGCTATCTTTTATTTGTGATCATTCAGCTGTCTGTTTCTTGTTAAAAAGAAAGAAACCATTGATACCTAAGTCTAGAAAGCCTTTTGCAGATGAGAGTGCCTGAGATTTCCTGAAAGTATTATAATAAATCACACTGGAGCTGTTTCAAAAGCAGGACATACCTGAACATGAAGCCATCTGAGTATCCGCAAGAGAATGACTTGAGGCAGATGTGAATTCTGTCAAAGAAGTAGGTTCTAATCAAATGGAAAGTGGCCTGAACCCCTAAAGGCATCTGGTCTGACTTGAGTCTTAGATTCCTTTTTTTTTTTTTTAATTTTATTTTTGCTAGAAGATTGGGGTTCGGTCCAGAGGTGTAGGAGGTGAGAGGATTCCCCAGACACAGAGTGGGGAGCAGGACAGGTGGATGGACTGAAACCCACTGCTGAGGGGAGCAATGACAGGAGAGGTCTGCTGGGCCACATGGGTCCATTCCCTGGCTGGGGATTGAACTCGGGCCATAACATTGACAGCCTGAGATTCAACCTGTAGGCCACCAGGGAGGTCCAAGATGCCACTGTTTTTTTTTTTTTTTTTCTGAGCAGTAACTGAAGAACAACAGCGCAAGGGTGGGGGGGGGGGTTAATGCTGAAAGATTACACTGATCTACAGGTTGTAAAGAGAAAATGACCCTATGAAAAAAACCTAGATGGAGTGGAATGGGGAGAATGGGGGAGAGAATGGAAGCTAAGCAACCATTCCAATACCCTCTCATCCTCAGTAACCCCAGATGAGAGCAGGAGGCTTGACACCAGCAATGACTGACCACCAGGCAGGGGAGCTCCCTGACTAGTTATCCACAGTGGAATGCTAGTGGGTGGAATGACTGACATGGTTGCATTTTTAATCATTGTAAGTCCTTTAATCATTTTTCCCATTCTTTTTCTTCCCATCTGCCTGCTGGAGCTTGACGTTGAAACGGTTAAAACCACCTGTTGTCTAAGTCCCAGAGGGCCTGGAAGTCTCACCCTCTCTCATGTCCCCAGGATGATGAAGAACCACCTTGCTCTGTTAAGTGGATGGAAACTAAACTTCTGTGTATGCACGCTGCTAATGTATTCCTTTTTTTTTTTTAAAGATTTATTTATTTATTTATGCATACAGAACTGGGGTACAGGCCACAGGTACAAGGGTGGTGAGAAGATTCACCAGAGACAGAATGGGAGCAGAACAGGCCGACTGATGAAGTACACTGCTGAGGGGAGCAGTAGGTGGGCCAGGAGAGGTCTGCCGTGCCATGTGGGTCACCTCCGGGGTGGGGATCAAACTCATGCTGAAGTGGTTTTAGCTAGGGTTGTGCTTTAACCTGCTGCACCACCAGGGAGGGCCATCCTATTTGCTTTTTCATAGGATATAACATTAGCTAACAGACAGGATGTGGTCAGAGACAGAACATACCTGTTATGTGAATACGATATTCCTCTTTGAAGATCTTCTTTAAAAAAGGGATCTTGAACTGCATGTGTGGAGTGTGGAGCCCAGGGAGGTTGACGTCAACGTCCCCCATGAAATGTGGGAATTCCCAGTCCTGTTGGAGAACATCAACAGAAAGGCTGATTTGTGATTTGTTTCATTCCTAAGTAGCAAAACAAGAAAAATGAACTTTTTATAATCACTTCTTTCAAAATCATTTAAATGCAGCCAGCTGCTAGAGGTAACTGTTTCATCCAACGATGGTTATTTTATGTGTGCTGGGTAGTGGTATATATTCAAAATCAAATGTAAGCAGCCTCAGATTTTCTGTTGAAGGAGGTAATAAGAGACCAATACAAAAGTGACTGGCATCTGTATAGGTTCATCTCTTTCCTTTTGAAGAACCACTCTTAATTTTTTACATGAAGGTGATCCATATTTTATAAGTATGAGATCATTACATATGTTTCACTACTTTTAAAAAACATGAGCCCTATGATAGCATGGCTTTTATAAGCAGACAAAGAAGATCTGATTCACTTAACCAGTCCCTATCAAGGGACTTGTATTAATCATCTCTGCTTGTTACTAGGTGGAAAGTAAAAATATCAAGGACTTGTGTTACATTGTCTTGCAATTCAGTATAAATTTGGACAGAGCAATGGAAGGTTTGGGAGGGAAGTGAATTAAACCCCAGTTGCCATCTGTCATTTCCTTGTTGGAAGGGTAAGGAGGCGGGGCTACCTTCACTCTCATAAGCAAGGAAAAAAGATGTAAATGGAGCTATTTTCAGATGTCTCATGTGCTCTCAGGTTTTGAGGTGAGGCACCAAATCATAGTTCATAACAAGCATGTTAAGAATGAATACAGCATTTATGAACAGGTATTTATGGTGAATAGGTATTGGCACACACCTATGCCATAGGTATTGGCACACACATTTTTACTTTTAACAAAGTAATCACTAAATTATTAGTCCTATATCTAGCTGACATTTTAAAAACAAATTATGAAAAAGTATGAGCAAAATATTAAAAATTTTAACTTAGAGGACTCCCTTGTGGCCTAGGGGCTAAGTCTTAGGTAATCACCACTGCAGCCTGAGTTTGATCCCTGGCCAGGGAGCTGATCCACATGGCGCAGCAGACTGCTCCTGTCTTGCCCGCTGCTCCCCTCAGCAGTGGATTTCAGCAGATCCTCCTGTTCTGCTCCCTACACTGTCTCTGGGGAATCCTTTCACCCTGCACCTCTGGCCTTCTGGCATACACCCCAGTTCTTCCATGCAAAATAAAATAAAATAAAATAAAGTAAAATAAAATAATTCATTTTCTCAATAATAAATTGTTAAAATTTTCCAAGGCTTTTCTCTATGTAAGCTAATACAAGTGTGCTTACGACAGAGGTCTTGAACATTTTAAGAACTTCTATGTCTATTCCAGTCCTCTTGTTGCTGAGAACTTTGGTCAAAGTATAACAGAGGGCCCTCTGGGGTGGTGCAATGGATTAAAGCACATCTCTGCAAGCTAGCAGTACCACTTCAGTGCGAGTTCAATTCCTGGCCCTGGGGGTGATCCACATGGCGCAGCAGATCTCTCCTCTCTAGCCCGCTGCTCCCCTCAGCAGTGTACTTTGCCTGTCTGTCTGTTCTGCTCTCTACTCTGTCTCTCATGAATCCTCTCACCATCCCTGCACCTCTGGCCTGTACCCTAGTTCTGTATGCATAAATAATCTTTTTTTTTTTAAAGATTTACTTATTTGTTCACACAGAACTGGAGTACAGGCCAGAGGTGCAGAGGAAGTGAGAGGCTTCACCAGAGACAGAGTGGGGAGCAGAACAGGCAGATCAAGGAAGTACACTGCTGAGGGGAGCAGCGGGCAGGTCAGGAGAGGTCTGCCGTGCCATATGGATCACCTCCGGGGCAGGCAGGGATTGAACTCATGCTGAAGTGGCTTTAGCTTCCTAGTGCAGTGCTTTCACCCGCTGCGCCACCAGAGAGAGCCCTGTATAAATATATCTTTAAAAAAAAAGGATAACAGAACTCAGAGATAAAGAAAGTGGTATCCAATATCTATTAGTTTTTGATCTATGGATTACTTTAAATGCTAATGATAAATATTAAAAAGAAAAACGAAGGGACACATTCTTTCTATTGGTGTATAGGCAAGTATCTTGTTGATCTTATCTTGTTTTTCAGACAACAGCAAATTGACAGGATTTTGAACTGAGTAAGTTTTTGAAATGAAAAAATTCAGAGCTTTTCAACCAAATAGAGCTGTAACATTTTTCTCTCCAATATTAGTAGAAAATAAGTTGTGAATTATTGTATTATATGTGAGAGTTATTACTGTATTTTATTAAAGTACCATTGCCCCATTTTTCCACTGATAAATCTTGCTCTTTCAGTGTTACCTGAGAGACTCTTAAGAGATAACTGAAATTGAATTTAGTCTTTTGCTAAAATATAAACTGGTATCACCTATGAAAAGTTATGTGTCACAAATAGAGAGACTGATAACCAGCATATCTTTCTTTGCTCTGGATAAACAGTATAAGACATTATCAACAAATTCTTTCCTTTTATTCAATGATGTAAAGAAGAGAATACTCCTTGGTAATAAGTATGGAAGTGTACCTTACCTGTTCTCACTCAGCTTTTTATTCCATGAAGCTGAAGTTTTATACTGGGTATGTAACTGGGTTTTAGTTTAAAAAGGATATTAGAAATTTCTTGTAGACAGCAACTAAAAATTTTCTTCACTAAAAATTAGTTTCTACATTATTTTGCACCAGTATTTGGAGACAGAAAGATGAATTAAGGAATTGGAGAAGAGGAGAGAGAAGAGAAAATCTTGCACTTTATCTGGAAGACGGCCTTTTTGGCCTCTACCCCTCTTTTTTTTCTTTAATAACAGTTTATTTATTTATGTACATCATTTTGTACATTTTTTTTCCCATCTCAATTGTAATCCCCGTGGGTTTCCCATCACCAAGTCACCTGTGTGCCATCACCATAATCCTGTGCACTTCCCTCCCCGTTTTTGATCCCATTCCCCACTCCACCCCCACAAAATGGCTCTGGTATATGGTTGTTCATTATTCTTGTTATTTTCTTGCCTGGCCCATTATACTCCTGCTATGAGTAAAACAATCCGGTATTTTTCTTTCTCTATCTGGCTTATCTCGTTAAGCATGATCTTTTCCAGCTCCCCCTCTTTTTTTAAAGAAGGGATCAGGGCAGGGAGTTTGGGGGAAAGTTTGAGAGAATTAAAAAAAATAAATGATGTGGTCCTCCCTGGTGGCGCAGCGGGTTAAAGCACTGCACTAAGAAGCTTAAGCCACTTTCACATGAGTTTGATTCCCGCCTGCCCCAGAGGAGATCCACATGGCGTGGCAGACCTCTCCTGACCCGCCCGCTGCTCCCCTCAGCAGTGTACTTCGTCGATCTGCCTGTTCTGCTCCCCACTCTGTCCCTGGTGAATCCTCTCACCCTCCGCATCTCTGGCCTGTACCCCAGTTCTGTATGAATAAATAAATCTTTAAAAAAAATAAATGATGCATAAAATAGATTCACTCCTCGCATATCACTCTTTTATAATTTAAACAGCAGCAGTCAGGGAGAAGGACAGCTGGACTGAAATGCCAGCCCAGGTTCTAGAGAACAGTCAAAAGTCCCAAAAGGCCAAAATGGCCAAAGACTAAAGCTTAAACCAAGTGTTATGGGACTCTAACAACACAATCCCTATGAAATAGGTCAAAGGATAGTGCCCATAAGAGGCCACGTCTGTGGTTCTCATCCACTCATAATTGCAAGATGCCTCAAGCTCGAGGAGAGACCACCATGGGGTTTATTTCACCAACAGGGGAACAAAGAGCTGACTGAAGCTGCGAGTGGCTCACTATCTCATGCCAGGTCCACCAGCAGTCCAAGCAGACTGCCGGTCACCTGTCAGCAGAGTCAGCCAGCACCGACCAGTAGTGATGGTCACTAATGGTCCCCCAAAGGTGGTGTTGGAGACACCAAGTGTTAACAATTCCTTGTGAGCTGTTGGACAATATCAACAGCAAAAAGCTCTTTGAGAACTAGGCCTGGTGCTCCTTCCAGGTGAGGGAGGACAGGAGCGAAGGCAAAGCATCTGACAGACAGTTCTTGGGCTTCTCTTCCTTTCTCAGAGTTGGCTGCTGGATGCTTTTTCTTTTGAAGTCGGCTGCTGCCCTTCCTCTTTCTTTGGATGCCAGGAATGAAATATCCCCCTTCTTTTCTAAGGAGCTAGAACGGTGTCTCCCTCCATCCTCTTTTAGGATTTTTTTTAATCTTATGGCTGATCAGGTCATTTAGTACAAATTAGTATGCATAGAAAGGAGGTTTCTGGGCTCTGAGGAGGAGGAGAGACCAATTTCAGGCTGGGCCATTGTCTGCATGGAGTTGGAATTTAGCACTTCCACTGTTTTTGTGTCTTTTCTTCAGTTTCCACTCATCCCAAGATGAGCCATTGGGTACATCAGCATGTCTAAATTATCCTTGAGTGTGGTTGTGAAAGTGACACACACAAAAACAGAGATAGGAGAGAGAAACAGCTCAGCAGTGGAATAGAGGGAAGAGAATCCTATCCAGACTTACTCTATTTGAGGACTGAGATACTGAGATAAGTTCTGGTCACCAGAAAGCCTGAACTGGAATAAACAGTTTGGAAAAGAAATGGATATAAAATTATTGCTTAATATTAGAAATATTTTGAGCTGTCCAAAGTCCGCTTATGTTTATGACCATAAACCCTAGGAACTAAATTTTTGAGTCCATCTAGCAGCCTATGGTTTCATTACATGTTGTTTCACTTAAAGTCACAGTTTCCAAAACCTATTACTGATGTAGTGATATAAGGATTTACTCCCACTCCTCTTCTGCCTAGTTCCCCCTACTCATCACTTGAATCAGTGTAAATTCTGGCCTTTTTTGGGTTTCTCTGGTGGCCTAAGGCTTAAGTCTCAGCATTATCACTGCTATGACCTGAGTCTGATCCCCGGCCGGGGAGCTGACCCACATGGCGTGGCAGACCTCTCTGCCTCACCCGCTGCTCCCCTCAACAGTGTACTTTGCCAACCTACCTGTTCTGTTCCCCATTCTGTGTCTGGTGAGTCCTCTCATTGCCCCTGCACCTATGGCCTATACCCCAATTCTAAATAAATAAATTTTTAAAAGAAAAGAAACAGGCAGGAGGATGGTATTCTGAATCTCCCTAGGTTTCATTCTTTTCCTCCATAAATGTGGGTTAAATATTTCCATCTCACCGACTTCCTGTGAGGATGAGACAGCACATGTACAGCAATTAACAAATACTGGAGAGAGAGAGGAGACAAGGAAATGGCCAGTAAGCACAATTGACTCTCAGCATAATTTCAAGGTCAGATTTATCCTGAGAGTGAAGCAGAGGAAGCTGGCAAGTCTGTTCTTCCTAGCTACTTTGAGGTTCAGGTGAGAAGGATAGGCTTCTCCTTTCTGCACAGCTCTGGGGCTCCTGGGGGAACTGGCTGGGACTCTGGTCAAAGCAGAGTTCTCCCAGAGGGCAGTGGGAGCAGGGCTTCAAGGAAAATGGCTCTTTCAGAGAGACATGTGAGGTGGCCTTATGAGGAGATGAAGACACAGGGACAAATTGTTTTGGGGGGCAATTTGGGTCACATTGTGGTGACCCCCAGAAATACCTGTGGGACACTTTAACTACCAGGATGAAGACATTATTATGCAGTTAGGAGTTGGTAAACAGGCAGTGTGAGCAACTAAAACAAGAAAATCTGTGGATATTTGGGTGACAAATTATTAAGCATGTGCAGTGTTCTAGCATCATCCTAGATGATGTATTTTCATTTGCACTTACCTTTGAAATCTTTCTGTTATTGACTAGATGAGAAAATTTGCCTCAAAGAGGTTAAGTCATCACAGAATGACGTAGCTGCCACCTGGCAGAGTCTAGCCCAAAGAACTCCATATTTGCTATGAGGCCATGCTATCTTTCATTGTGAACAGAGAGAACATTTTCTGCTTTTTTCTAGAACTGAAGTCATTTTTCCTGCTATATTTGTTCTGAATCACTCATGGCAGTCATTACTTGGTTGTTTAGGGTTTTATTTTTTTAAACATGTGCTTTTAGTTTTTGTTTAGAAGAACTGGGGTGTAGACTAGAGGTGAGGGGGAGGGGTGGGCAGTGAGAGGATTCACCAGAGACACAGTGGGAAGAACAAGCAGATCCACTGAAACCTACTACCGAGGGGAACACGGGGCCATAGAGGAGAGCTCTGCTGTGCCATGTGGGTCAGCTCCCTGGCCAGAGACTGAAGTCAGGCCATGGCATGAAGGCACTGAGACTTAATCCCTAGGTGACTAGGGAGGCTGTCAGTGAAGATTTTAAACTATTGTCTCCTGCTTTGGAGGGCTCTGCTCTGATCCTAATTTAACCAAGGACAAATGTTAACTCTACCTCCACTAAGCAATTGTCTAAGGGATATCTGACTGCTACTTAGACTGATGCGTTTGGAGACTTGACTGATGGTAACTAGTGAGATTTTCTTGTCCACATAACTGCAATGTGTAGCCAGTTTCAAACCCACATGTAATTATTATGAGAATCATGACTTTCTCTCCTTCTGTGTAAACGTAAAATATATATTTTGAACACAATATGAAAATGTTGAATTAAGAAAATGACAAGATATGATAAGCTACTAAGACCGGGGTAGAGAGAGGCTAATCCTATGATTGTAGAGTATGAAATATTCATTTAAATCTTCAAGAAATGTTACAAGTTTTTGAACACTTCCTTATTACTCTGTTATTAAATTTAAGACTAGCTGCCAAGGTCCACGACATTTGTGGTTCAGTGACGTGAGAATGGTGTAAGCATGTTTATTTAGCACACTTACTATTCCAGGTCTCATCAGGCCAAATCAATGCATATACTTCCAGGTTGGTATCTGGTTTCATACATGAAAAAAAATTCATTTCCCTCCCAATAGGCAATAAATGAAAAATGCCATCATATATACATAACTTTATTTCCTACATACTATGGTTTACTTCCACTTACACCAACAAAAAACACAGTGGACACTAGCATCCAAGTCACTCTGGACATGCATTCTGAGCTGATGTCTCCAAATGTAAGTCTGTCAAAATGCCCCTATTATCCATGAACACATTTGTACAGATTTTTCGGGACAATGTTGAGGCGAGATGGGCTTAGGTCATTCTGGATGCATCATTTCCCTGTGTGTTCTCACTGAGATGCCTGACTCAGGAACAAGCGACTTGGTACTATGCAGAGGAAGTCAGGCTTGAAGCCAACACTGTTCTGAATTCCCCAACTGGCATTCAATTTTCCAAATCAAACGAAGAGCTCTCATTTCGATTTAGAGAGCCGTTAGAATGAAGAAGGGAGTAACTTGTCACACTACCCTATAAAAGTAAAGTTGCACTCTCAGAACATAGGTTGTATTTTTGGGTCAAATATTGTCACCTGATTTTTGAAGAAAATAAGAAATAGATTGGATTAGATTAGATTTCACTGAGAAATGTCGATAGTCATTTAAAACAGGTTTTATGCATACCACACACAAAAAATGAATGCAAAATGGATTAAGATTTGAATGTAGGATGTGAAACAATAAAATACATATAGAAGAAAACATAGGTATAAAATTCCAAGATATGAGCTTCAGAAATGTCTCTGGGGACTCAATGCTAACATCAAAGGATAAAAAAACAAAAATAAACAAATGGAAATACTTCAGACTGAAAGGTTTCTGCACAAAGAAATTACCATTAAAGTGAAAAGGCAACCTATGGGGTGGGAGGGAACATCTGCACATCATACATCTGACAAGAGAGGAATGCTGAAGGTCTACAAGCAATTCATACAATGCTATAGGAAGAAGATAATAGATTCTTATATGTTAAGAAAAATTCTGGCTCTCCCTGGTGGCACAACAGGTTAAAACTCAGCACTGCAAGAGAGTGGCAGCCACTTCAGTGCAAGTTCAATCGATCCTCAGCCCCAGAGGAGACCACATGGCATGGCAGACCTCTCCTGACCCACCCGCTGCTCCCCTCAGCAGTGTCCTTCTTCCATCTTCCTGTTCTGCCCTCGGCTCTGTCTCTGGTGAATCCTCTCACTGCCCCTACACCTCTGGCCTGTATCCCAGTTCTGTATGCATAAATAAATAAATCTTTAAAAAAAGAAAAAAAATACCAATATTTTATAATGTAATTATTTGTATATTTTTCCTTTCTGGAATTAAATTGTTAAGCTTTCAGTGATTTCAAAGGCCAACTTTATAGATGTATTTCTTTCTCTTTGGTAATCTCTAGCCCTCCTTCTGTTTTAGATTTGAACTTAGATCCACCAACATCAGAACATCATTCTACCCAAAATGCCCCCAGCTTGTAAAATATTCTCACTTGTTCTAAGCTTTGCAGTGTCCTAGCAACAGGATTTATGTGACAGTGAGCAGTGGTGGCTTGGAGGATTACATTCATGCTTTGGGTGATAGTATTGTATCTCAAGTGTCTGATTTATTTCAGCAACCCTATGCTTCTAATTGGCAAGTTGGCTGAATAAAACCATTGGAGACCTGGACATAAAGTAGATTTTGCTTATTTGTATGGTTATTGCCTGGCTCATTCCACTGGAATGTGAGCTCCAAGGAGCTCACAGGTTTTTTTCCCTGTTTTTGTTCATTGCTGCATTTCCCATATATGAAACAGTGTTCAACGTACATTAAGAAGTCAAATATTTATTGACCTGATAAGTGGAACTCTCAGAAAGTAAAGATATATGACAATCACAAGTCCAACACCACAAATATTTGTTTTTGTAAACACTATTACACAAAAGCCTGAGAATCACTATGCTGAAAAGAAATGGTGGTTCTTCTTTTTCCTGTAAACTAGATGTACTAAAATCATGCAGTCATTTCCCAGAAAGCACAGAGGAAAGGAGATGGTAGAAAGTCAGAGGAAGGAAGTGGAGATCAAATGTAGATATTTCCAGATGAGGCAGTTAATGTTTGTTGAGTTAGTAAAAAATGTTTGCTGGAATGACTCAAGACACCATTTCAGTTACCTCATAAATGTAAGGGAGCGCAACAGAGACACCAAATGAATCAGAGAAAAGAAAATGTAAACAAACACATGATTAAAGAACTTGGTGGGGCCATTTTTTTTACAGTGGATGACAGCAATGAGGCTGTCCAGCTGAGACTCTGAGATGATCAAGAGAAATAACTGGACATTACTTCTTAGGCGGCCTTCAACAAATGTTTTCTCATATGCTGTTCATTCAGTTTCTCTTAGTAGTCACTATTTTTCCCTGACCCAAGGCAAATGAATTGCACAACCTCTTAAAGTTTTCTTATAGAGGCAAGTAATGCTTTTTTAAAATAGTAAAGAAAAAGGGCCCTCCCTGGTGGCGCAGCAGGTTAAAGCACAGCACTAAGAAGCTAAAGCCACTTCAGCATGAGTTCAATCCCCACCCAGGAAGTGTCCCACATGGCGCGGCAGACCTCTCTTGATCCGCCCACTACTCCCCTCAGCAGTGTACTTCATCAGTCAGTTTGTTCTGCTCCCCACTCTTGTCTCTGTGAATCCTCTGCACCTCTGGCCTGTACCCCAGTTCTGTATGCATAAATAAATAAATCTTAAAAAAAATAAAGAACATTTGAGAAAAAGACTTAACTTTCTGGCTGAATTAGGTTTTTGTCAACAAGTAATAGAGATGACAGGTTCCACTTATCACTAAAATAAATGCAAGTTAAATTGTGTCCCCTTATGTAAAATGGTTAAATAATTTGACTCTTTGGTGAGTTTTTGTGTATTAAAAAATACCAGTGATCTCTACAAATGGTGGTTGGCCAGACATTACAATTAACCCAATGTTTATTTTGTAGTGTTGCTTCATATATTTTCTCCTTTATTAGTCTTTCTTACTGGAAAAAA